TATCAAAATTATTTTCCTAAATTTGATTGTCTTCAAGATACTATTTCACAGCAAATTCTGTTTCTTCTCTCTCTTTTTATAGTCAAATTTTGTGTCTTTATTTATAAAATGATGTCACAGTTCAGATGCAATACAAAACTTTTTATAGAATGTTTTTCCTTCTGAGATAAGACTATAAAACTCCTCATAAATTTTCCACTCTTAAAAGCAAGAGTTGACAGATCCTGCTGAGATTACAAAACCATTGGATATCTTCAACTTCATGGTTATTCATTTTAGGATGACATCTTTTACCTGGATTCTAATCTCAAGACAAAAAAAAGTAGATGACTAATTTTTCCATTTATACAAATATAAAAAGATAAATTTATCACTTTCTACTTTTATTGGTTTTATTTGGAGTTTTGTGAATCTCCTGGATGGGTTCTGTTAGGGTAAAAAAAGGATGTGAATCTACTTGATTATAAAATAAAAGAAGGAAGGGAAGGAAGAAGAGAGAGAAGGAAGGAGAGAGGGAGGGAGGAAGGGAAGGATGGAGGAAGGAAAGTTCTTCTCTTATACTGAAACTCTAACTTGTTACCATATTTGTGAGGAAATGTTCCTCATCTTATAAAACAAATAAAAGCAACTGACTGTGCTATGAATAAGAGTTCTTGAAAATTGTCCCCGACACAGAAAATGGAACTTTTCTACTATAGACTCCATAGTTTGCAAAGTTATCTTGAGTAGAGCACAGTGATTATAAATTTTTTTCAAATTAGTAAACCACAAAAATGTTCTAAGCCTAAAATACTTGTAAACAAAATGAAACCAGTATTTGTAGTAATTAAGAGATGAGGAGTTTGGGGAAAATTAACTGGAGGGGAGGGGGAATCTTACTGCTTAATTAGATGATTACACTATCATGGAAGCTTTACAAAAACAACATATCGTAAGCAGCCCATGCTCCACTCTCTTGCATTTAACATATCTATGCTTCCATCTATACAGTTTAGATGGAAATAAGCGATGCAAACACTTTGGTTTTACCCATGTTGTATTTTTCTTCTGTTTCAATTATAATTCCTTCTTCATGACTGGAAAATATGGTAATGATATTCAGAAACTCTTAAGCCTTTATAAATGAACTCTGAGATGTGGTTGTTACATTAGTAGGTAAACTCTAGAACTCTAAGCACAAAAATAAGCTCAACTCTATGTAACATTCTTTCTGATACTTAGGAATTGGGCATAATTTTGTGTAAGATCCTGGGAAACAGCAAAACTTTGCCCCAATTTAGTTCTTCTCTGATTGGTTCTGCAACCACCACAAAACAAACTCTAGATAATAAAGATTCAGCTCATTGCAAAAGTAGTGTGTTGTGCCAGAATCTTTGGAGAACTCCCTGAGCATAACAGTTGTCTGAATTTCTAATGATGTTCATGCCCACTTGGGATGGAGTTAGTTTTCCTATAGATGATGTTTAGAATCTGTTATTTTATAATAAACTCCAATAATCACAGAGAGCTACAAAGAGTAAATTGTAAATTGGCCCACCTGTTGAGATCTGCCGTATCACTTCAACAGCTTTTAAGAACCATTTCTACCAATGGAGTTGGAAAAATGTTATGGCAGTTAAATGAGATTAGAAAAAACAGAATCAAAACAGAAATCCTTCTGGAATACTTTTTACATACTATTTTACAGTTTATGGTGTGTTGTACATGCAGCCTCAGTTGACGGCCTGTTTATTCCTATCCGATCATGTCGGATGGAATACAATTCCCTGTTTTAGAGGATTCAGCAGTACATAAAAGTCAGCTTGGCCCTAGCCGCACAAATGCAATCTAAACTCAGTTTTTAAGATGCTACAGATTTTCTCCTTAGGGAATGGACTGTTTGTGGGCAGGCTGTTTCTTTCATAAGAAAAATATTTTCTAACAGAGCATTTTCATGGGCTGAAACTGAAAATTCCAGTGCTTTCACTGCTTAAAAACACTTAAATATTTCAAAGGAATATCCTCAAAAGTAAACATTAACTATTTTTTGTTTGTTTTTGTAGTTTAAACAACTACATAAAGTTCTATATAAAATTATTTCAAGGACCAATTTTCCTTATTAGCTATATCAATGGGTTTCAAGTCTTGCAAAATCCCTTGCTTTCACTTAAGAAAAAGAAAACAATCTTATTACCTTGTGCCAGCTCTCAACCGATTACCTCTCATCTGCAAATCCACCTTCATTATCCTGCTTGTGATGCTAAAGCTGTATTTAAGCTTAAGCATTTTTCTTTTTTCAGATGATATACTGTGTGTCATCAGCAGGTGGCTCTAGGGCGCTCTGCATGAAAAAGAGGCTTCATTTCAGGTGTTTTACTCTGCCTGTTCCTGTAGTGCCCAAATGCCAGCAGCATAGAGCACACCCAGATGCGCCCTGTCCCAGCAGTGAGCTCTGCTGCGCAGCACCTCCCGCTCTGGGCAACCTTCTCTGGCACTTCCGAGGCCAGCTTCCCAGCGCATTCCATGGAGTGACATTTGCCTATGGACAGTTTTCCAAGCATTCAGAGGTGACTTCCTGGCAATTTTGGCTGGCCATGTTGGTGAGGGGTGGGTAACTGAACGAAAGAAGATAAAGAAATTAACCCAAAAACATATGTGCATAGCCCTTGGACATAGATAATAAAAGGCCAGGGGAAGGGGGCCAGGGGCTGCGGAGCAGCAGGCAAAAGGGAAAATTGGGGACATCTGTAATAGTGTCAACAATTTAAAAAAGGAATCATTCTTTTTTATTTTTTAATATTTTATTTATTTATTTTTAGAGAGAGGGGAAGGGAGGGAGAAAGAGAGGGGGAGAAGCATTGATGTGCAGGAGAGACAATTGATGGTTGCCTCTCACAGGTGCCCTAGGAATGTGCCCTGATCAGAATCCTACCTGTGATCTCTCTCTGTGGGAGGTCACCCAAACAACTGAGTAACAACTGTCAGGACAAGAACTCAAACTTAGAAATGTTTATCACCTTAACTAAAGGAATTTTAAATGCACTTTAATTTTAAAAAATTGATTGTACAATGACAGTTGGAAAATAAGTAATATTGAACAATTACAATGATTAATGTGTCCACATGTAAAACAATTTGGCTGTATAAGTTATTGATAATAATATCTAATTCTGAAAGCTAAAAAAAAAATAGAACTAAACTACTGAGTAGCTAAAGCATGTGAGCAAGTTGCCAATTATTATATTTAAGAGCACACTATGAATTTCGACTTTACCTTGGGTACGGTAAAGACCTGGCTGAGAATGTCAAAATAAATAAATAAATAAATAAATAAATAAATAAATAAATAAAGTTAAGAAATACTTTCTTTTTCTTTCAACAGCTAATTAGCCAATTAAAAAATCAAAACAAACAGGCCATGACAGCTGATAGATCAAGAAGGAATGCACTACTCTAGCCTATTATTTGACTAGACATTCTATGTATTGCCTAAGGATGTTGTTTATTCCTCAGCTGATCCTTTGTTTGCAAGGATTTTCTACCCATGAAGAACTAGGTGCTCATCATAATTTCATATAATTGTCTGCAGAAAAATCAGTACATATACTCTGGAGAAAGGCAAGGAATGCAGTGTTGTTCTAGTCTGTTGGATGGCAAACCAGGCGCTTTATGCCACCTAGGGACCGGGGTTCAAATTAGCATTAACATCAGTGCCTTTAGATTCAGTAAATATACATGTAATATAAATATATGTGTATGGTATTTTCTTTCAATACACTTATAGTCGACTTGTAAAGGCAAGCACACCAATTAAGTTAAATTTGGTAAGAGAGTTATAATTAGGGTCAGACCATAATTCCCAATTTGTCCAGTTTATGTGCACTATTAATATTGTTTATTTCACTTTTAATAGTGAATGATAAGTTATATTACTAAGTTTTGCTTATTGGATTTAGGGAAGACTGCAACATAAATGAATAAAGGTAAACAGTTTAATAATTAAGTTTATAATAAGCTTTGAAATTAATACTTATGCTATCAAAAGGTCTAATGTAGTCTCATATACTTTTATTAGACCCATGAATGGATTGAAGTTTGTCACTAAAATGACTTCCCCTGAGTACTGACCCCTGACCAATGAGCTTGAGAATTGTGGATTTATTGTGTTGTGACCGCTCACTTATTTTCTAGGTCCTGAGATATTACACAGAAAATATCTAGTCCTTGCGTGTTTAAGAAACCTCCGGGTTACCAGCTTGATGGACAGGTTCCCGGCAGGCTTTCTGGTTTCAACTTGTATGGGATACAAGTCCCATAGTTTTACTTGATAATCTTGCTGTACCTGGCTAAGTTCCTGATGTAGATTAACTTTAAAGATTAATCAAATAACTATATGAACAAAGTCTATGTAAATCTTTAAATACAGAATGTTTTCAGGACACAGAATATGTCCTGAGCCTTGTGCTATTTCAATCTATTAAAAATTTCAGCTTCATGGATGATGGAAGTTAGACAAGATCCCGCATCCCCCTATCCCTTGGCCCAAAACTTGACCACCACAACAAGGAAGGTTTATTAACATGGTTAGTAATCCGTGATAATTCCTTTAGCCTCAATGTTAACTGAGTATAAACTTTTTTAAACTTCTTACATTGTGACAAACCAATCACAAATGATTAATTCATGACTTATTCAGAGCTCTCATTTAAGCTCTGATTTCCATCACAGCAATAGGCTGGCTTGAAGCTGATGATGGTATCACAGGATGAGTAAAAACTTTGGGTGTTTTTAATTGCATGCTAATGAGGTAAACATGGACTGACAAAAATCTGCCTGTGTCCAAGTCAATACAAGGAGAAGTTTCTACTGCTGTAGTAATAGATTTGAAAAATAACCTCATGTTATTTAGAAATTCATATTACCTGAAAGAGTTCTCAGTCTAGCTTTGCTCTGCAACTTATTATTCAGTTTTAGTGGAACTATTTTAATCTTAGCACTGTGAAGAGGCTGGAAAAAGGAATATGATGAGGTTCAAAGCTCTCTGTTTGGGGCTGCTTTGTGGTCTTCTTGCTGCTCATATTTACATGCCCATACCAAGCAACATAGAAGAGCACTGGAAAGTGATGGTCTTGGATGCAACTGCTAAAATATGTACATTTATGGTAAGATTATCATTTTTTCTCCTGGATAATAGGATGCCTTGTTAACTAAAAGTCAGTACTTTTATGAATTTTCTATTCATTACTCTCTTAAAATAACTATTGCTTGTTTGTTTGAATAAATCAACTACCTGAAATTAAGTACATTAAAGTTGCTGCATCTGTAGAAAACAGAATATCAAATTTTTGTTTCCAAAGAATTTATGTATAAATATAAAGACTCCATATGTTGTGATAGACATAAGATAAATGGCATCGTTGAAGGGAAAATTTTGAATTTTTTTTGATAATTTGACTTACCTTTGAGTTTTCAGGGACAGTCCAGTCCTGTACCTACCTCACAGTACAGAGATAAATGCTGTTGATGTTTATATCTGTTTGATGTTGATATGGAGCTCTTACTCTTTCAATGCTTTCTGTTGTCCATCTTGAATTCTAAATTATTGGGTTTCAGAGACTGTCTGATTTGAAAGATGCATGGTAGGTTGTGCGTTCTAGCAAGAATAGTTCCTTGATCAGGGGGAAATATGGTTATATACAAACATTTTTGAGATTTTACAATGCATTAGCTTTCTTTAATGTATACTTCTGCTCATCCCTGCCATCCTTCAATTATTTTTACCAGTTTATAGAGGAGGAAAAAGAGGCTCAGAAGAGTTCATGCAGCTAGAAACTGACAACTCCAGACTTTGAACTCAGATCTGCCTCATTTCAAAACCCATATTCTCTCTGCAAAACCAGTAGTTTCCCAAAAGGTTTTTTGATGATAGTAACAATAGGAGGCTTGACAAGAGAAGGCGACAAGAGCAGCAGATGATTGGAGAAGAGAGAGCACTCCATGGTATAAGAGGTAGACGCTTTCCCATGGAGCTTTGTAGAGTGGACAACAGTTCTCTGAAATGCCAGCCAGTTCTGTCTTTGTCTGCTAAACCCTGACATTTTTCTCTCAGATCACTTCCAGAGGCTCACTTTCACCATAGCTGTCCTTTTCCAACACTCTCACTTGATTTAACATAGAGTGAAAGGTATGTGGGTTACCAAGTCTCAGTTCCACAGAGGAACTGCTGTCATCTTACTTGACTATTTCATATGTATTTAAAACTCAAAGTGACTGATACTGATATTGCCATCTAAATTACAACATTAACAGCATAGTCAACTCTAAAATTCTACTTTTACTTCCTCAGCTACAAATTATTCTTACCCATCTATAATAAAATAATGCATTTTATGTTTTTGGTATCATGTATGTGTTCCCCTTCATTTTTAAAAAAATTAAGAAAAGCACATATATAATTACTTTAAAAACCACTCTAGTAAAATCAACAATCTAGCTGTAGTAGGGCAATTTTATTGTTGTTATTACTAAATTGTGCAACTAAATGTTGTACCACTAAGAAAAATCAATATTTTTAATTGATAAGGTAGAAGTAAAAATTAAAGTTCTCGGTAAAGTGACCTTAAAAAATAAACACATTACTATGCACTAATATGTTAAATTGGAAGTCAGAGTTTGGGAGAAGAAAACATGCCCAATTCTAAAAAACTTCCTTAACTCTTCCTGTAATTGTTTACTGTTAAAAAAGAGATACTAATAATAAATACTTTGCATCATTACTCTGATAACTAGAGATTTTGTATGCTAGAAGAACACAAAATAATCTCTAAAATGGCAGCTCTTGTTATTGTTCCTAAAATACTTAAGTATCTATTAAAAACCAGGAAATATTTTGGAAAATAGAAACAAGACATTTTGTCAAAAGTCTAATTTTTAAAAGCCAACTCACCAAATATAAGTTAACCTAATTTAACCATTTACCAAAAACTTGCTTTAAGGGACACTTAGGTGAATTTATTCAAAATTCATCTTAGTGAGGCATACTTTAAAAACAATAAGACAAGATTTTGGGGGCCAGGCATGCTTCTACAGTGAATTGAAAGTCCTAATTCATTTAAAACCTACTAATATTCACTGTGGAATTTAATTATTGTTATTATTATTAAAGTTTTACAGATAAAAATATTAAAGTACACAGAGTAATTTGCTTAAGGTTATATAGCCAGTACAGGTGGTGTAAAAGGCTGGTCTAGAAAAATGGATGCCAATTTGGTTTCTATGTTTACTGGTTGTAATTTACAGTTTCTGTATACTTCTTTATCATTAAAGTATAGGGATTAAATGTTCTCTAAGACCATGTAATACTTTAAACTCTTTGTAATAACTGTAGTGATAAAAGCTGTTTAGTGTACTATTGACCGTGTATTTTTTAAGGTTTTTCCTTTGAATAAATTGTCAAGTGACATGTCACAAGGGTCCTAGAGAAGCTGGTCAAAAAATACCAAGAAGAGATATTTTTTTTTCAGTGATATCTGATATGGGATTTGGGAATTGGGAGAGTGGAAGGGCAATGAACAGGAATCTATTCATAATTGAAAAATCAGGACATTTGAATCATTAGTAGAGTAGTCATAAGATGGCACTTAAAGTTTTGGATCAAATAAAATTAAAGATAACAAAAAAGAAAAGATGATGGAAGGAAGGAAAGAAGAAAGGAAGGAACGAAGGAAGGAAGGAAGGAAAGGAGGAAGGGAAAGGGAAAAAAGAAAGAAAAGATGTTATACGACCTGGACAATTTTCAGGTAAGAATTTACAATTAAGCAATAATTGACAGGCATAAAAGAAACTGTCAGTAAATTGCAACTTTGGAATGAGATAGTTATTTATCAAGAAATCCATAATTCTTGAGATTTTCAAAAGCATAAAGTTATGCAGTAAGAACTATGAAGCATTATTTGGAAGTAATTTTATAAACATTCTATTTCTGTGTATTTTGCTTATGTTTTCTTTATTTTCCTTTTATATGCATTTGATATTATTTAAAGGTGAGAATGTTTACTTTTATTTTGTTTTTATAGGGTACATGTTTTGAAAATATAGGTATCATGAAATATGAAGAGTTTATTTCTATGATAATCAGGCTGGATTATACCCAGCTGCTTTCAGATGAATATGTCACAGTGACAGATACAACTTTTGCTGACGTTCCAGTACGTCTGTACTTGCCAAAAAGGAAGTCAGAAACCCCAAGACGAGCTGTAATCTATATTCATGGTGGTGCTTACTGTTTTGGAAGTTTCAGTAAGTTAATCATATAGCTAAAAAAGCATAACTGGCTTTATGTTTTTTCTATAAGAACTATTTTATAGAAATATACATATTTATGTATATGCACATATATACGTACTTGCATGTATATTCATATATTATATATAAGTATAGCTATAAATATTAAGTATCTCATAGAAAGAGACATGCCTAATAACATATATCATGGAGGCTGTCATTCCCATTTTGTTTTGTTTTGTTTTTTGGTAAGCATTTTCTTCTCAGCTTTTCTTTTTATTGAAAGAATTTACATCAAATGAGTAAGACATGAACAAGTCAATTAATAAACTTTTTTCTTTGGGATCAAAATATGTTTACGAACAGAAACATTGAAATGGTGCAGATTTTTTTAAAAAACATGTTTATTCTATTACAGTTGTCTCAACTTTTTCCCCCTTTGCCCCCCTCCACCCATCCTACCTCTACCCCCCACTCCCACAGGCAATTCCCACTCTGTTGTCCATGTCCATGGGTCATTCATACATGTTCTTTGTCTAATCCCTTCGCCTTCTTTCCACCATTGTCCTCTTTCCCCTTCCCCTCTGGTCACTTTCAGTCTGCTCCATGTTTCCAAGCCTGTGGTTTATTTTGTTCATTAGTTTATTGAGTTGAATAGATTCCACTTCTAGGTGAGATCATATGATATTTGTCATTCACCAATTGATTTATTTCACTTAGCATAATATTCTCCAGTTCCATCCATGTACCTGCAAAATGTAGGAGTTCCTTCTTTCTTTTTTTTTTTAAACGCTGATTTTATTTATTTATTTATTTTTAAATGTCAAAGGAAGTGATGCAGATGTTTTAAACAGTAAATCAAATGCTGTTGGTTGCTATAATAATAGTTTGTAGTTACTAATAACAATAGTGCTAACAGTAGAAAAGCCTAGAATAGGCTTTTTTTTGTCTTGATTCTGAAAGGAAAACATAAAATACAACTATGTAATAATAAACTCTTCTTATGAAGTCTAGCGTCCCTACTTTGTCTAGTGATAATTCTAAGAGGCAAATATTGAAGATCCGAAACAAATACGTGAACAAATTTACTGTTTTGAAAACTTCAGAAAAATCATAGAATGAGGTTAGTATATTAGGGGGCATTTGTTCTATTTAATTAAAATAATAAAATTAAAGAAATGAATATAATTAAGGACAAATAAATAGCTCACAAATGAATTTTTCACCTTTTGTCTTTCTCTAAACCTCACTTGGTTCTAAGTAGTTTGAGCATCTTATAAAGATGTAAGCAATATGCCAAGCAACACTTAACCAAATATTATTAGAAATGAAGAGTAGTCAAAGAGAAAATAAGTGTGAAAAATTAATGGGGCAGAAAGTCTTTGATTAATATGCAAAATGCTAAAATGGTTAAACTGCAATTTTGGCTTTCTAGGTTTCTCTTCTCTAGCTTTTTGATAACTAACATATTGGAGGTTGCGGGAGACGATAATCAGCTACAAAACCTATAATGACTTGTCAAAATTAAATAATTTAGACAGCTCAAACAGAGGTTAAAGCATTTATTCAGTTGAGCTTCAGGAAGCAGTTGAAGACCACATGGCTCCTCAGTTGAAGGATTTTTTTAATAGTCTGGGAAAGGCTGAGTGTATGTCCTTGCCTTGTCAGCTCAGGTAACTTCATTCAACTTTCACCAAAACTTGTGGTGGGGGACCAGCCATGTGCTCATGCCCCATGTTTGCTTTGGTTGGTAGAGTTATGAAAACCATCATAGCATATTGCTTTTGCAAACTGTAGGTTTTATCAACTACTCAACATTTACAGGGTAGGAAAGATGTTAACAATACAGTAAAAATAAGGAGGGAAATGTAGAAGCCCAGGAGAGACAGGAACCCTCTATTGTGTTTGTTTTATGCCTTTTACAGTCTACACAGAGGAAATCAAACACAACATAAAACTAAGTAATTTCCAAAATGGGATGAGAAATTCAGTTCTTTCACCTTAGGAAATGACTTTGCATTATATGAAGAACATCTATTGATCATCCTTGTAAATATATGCTGAAAACATGACTACAGACATGTAAATAAAAGCAATTCTGTGAGCAAGTAACAGGATGAAATAAAAGGTAAAGTTTCTGTGGGGATGTGATTCTGAGGTGACTTTTATAATAGCCAGTAAAGACGGTGTTTTATATAACCTTTGGGAAATACTAGAAAAATTGTTTTCTTAAAGATTTTGAAACATCCAAAAAAGTGAATTCTAAAAGCACTGTGACAAGGAAGGGAAGAATGGTCACTTTCTACTGCTAGTAAGATATAAAACCTTAAGACAGTGGTACTCCAACTTTAAGGCCTCAGAATCAGCTAGAACGACTTGTTAAAAGACTGTTGGATCCCATCTGCAGAATTTTTGATTAAGGAAGTCAATGAGGGGCCTGAGAATTTGCATGTCAAATTGATTTCCAGTTAATGCTGATGCTACTGATCTAGGCACCACACTACACTGGTAACCAATGCCACAGGTTGTCCTGCTGTGGCTCAGAAACCCCGTCCCATGGAGCCTAATCAATTCTGTGCCTCTTCTTGTCAATGACTGTTCTTAGTCTGTGTTACTCCAGGCCTGTTAGCATTACCATAGGTAGTTAACGAGTCATCAATAAGTGCCCAAAAGGAATTAAACATTGGGTTTAATAAACTGGGGTGCCTGAGCTGGTTTGCTTGGTGAGGAAGCTTTAGGTTCACACCCTAGAGGATCGTAGCATTGCTCCACCAAGAGGATTAACACTCCTCCTTTCTCCCCTCCAGTACAGGATTGTTGGAGGACAGAGGACGAGGTTCTTTTTTTTTTTTTAAGTTATACGAATTCTTTTTTTTTAATTAATTATTTTTTCAACTACATTTGTCTCTGCCTTCCCCCCACCACTTTCCCTTGACCCCTCCCTTTGGTTTTGTCCATGAGTCCTTGCTATACATTCCTTGACTTTCCCCCTTCCCTTCCTTTTCCCCCGCCCTCCCTCCCTCCTTCCCTCTTGTCTCTGTTGGTTTCTTTTCCTTTCAGTGTTGCTGGTCTTATTTTCCTGATCATAGAGGCCTGTCAGTATAATGAGGGCCTTCTAGCAAAAAGCTCACAAAAGCTTAGGAAGTTGATTGGCTGTTTTTAAAAAGCACCTGGTCCATCCCAAACCAAAGCTAATATAATCCCAGGGGAAAAAAGAAACAATCTCTCTCTCTCCCCCTTTTCTCTCCCCCACTCTTTCTGCCCCTCTCTCTACCTTGGTGACCCACACTTGCCCTGTACGTTGTGCATCTTCTCTCCCAGGAGCACGTGACCATGTGGGTCTAGTAGCCACGAAGGCCAGCAGCCTGATTTCCACCGGTAATGTTAGCATGTCCAGTTAGCTAGAGACCAAACTTACTGCTATTTCAGAGGAAATAAAGGATATGAGGGATTTTATATCCTCAAACTTTTAAACCCTTCATTGCTAGCTCAATCCTCATTTTCTACAAATTTGTCATCAACCAAACCCGTCTTTTAGCTTAGTTCTTTCTAATACTCTCAGAAGAGGCCTAACATCTTTGACAAATTTAGTCTTTCTTCCATTGCTTTATATTACAGGGCTCTTACCCTATTATTTGGCCTCAGTATATCTACATCAATCCTCTGTCTTAAGGATTTTGGTTTTTTATTTTTAATTTTGATATGACTCCTCCTAAACATTTTATGGTCAATGTTACCTTTAAAAAACATGTCCCTACTTGACCATGAATTCTTCTTTCTAGTCCCTTATCATTTTCCTTTCCTTTTCAAACTAATTTCCATATACTCTTCTCCATATAATTTCCACATAATCTCCATATAATTTCTATATGTTATTCCTTATTTCCTTGTTTTCCCTCATTTTAATCAGTTCCCCAAGCCCCAAGCTATATAATTTACTGCATTTGACGAAGGCTATTCTTTTCTCCTTTTTGATGTTTACTGATCCTCCTTTTGTTTTCTGTGACAAAGTATCTCCTAAATTTTCTCTGCCATTCATTGTTTTCTCAATCACTCTCTTTTCCATCTCTTATTTCAAAAACAAACAAACAAACAAAATAACAGGTTCTCTATACTTACTCCTTGTGTTTATTCTTGCCCCACAGAATGTAATCTCTATGTTCCAGTTTCAACTGCACACACTCTCTTTCCTAATTCTTTATTTTCTCCAAATACCCACATGCTACTGACAACCAGTTCTGAATATGCTAAACTGCAATTAATGTCAATTCTTTACTGTTCCTAGTGCTCACATTAAATTACAACATTCCATGAATTCCCTTTTTGAGTATTTCGATCTCATTGACACAAGTTAGTACTTCCTGATATTCACAGATGTTCCTCTCTGACACCTCTGCATTTCTCCCACTCAACTTTGTTTGACAGTATATATTTAGGGCTCTGGACCTCTCTTAACTTGCAAAGCTGATTATACGATTTTTTTTTGTCTAAGTTGTCAAGGCCTTTAATCATTTAATGAAGTAAATCTAAATCCCTTAGCATAGCATCCGGATTTCCATGTTTTTACGTTAACTTTCTTGTCCCTGCCAATGCAATGCTTCCCTTCATAATTTTATTTCTACTATACTGAGCTGCTTATAGACCCCCAAGCACTCCATGTGTTCTCATGTCTCTCCATGACTATGCTTTCCTAGAATGTCTTTGATATCTTTCTTCTGGGAAACTCTTATCATCTTTCCATATTTAGGTAAGGTGCAATTTCCTGTGTGTGCGTGCGTGAGTATGTGTGTTTGCGGAAGTGTGTATTCGTGTGTGTGTGTATGTAGTCTTTCCTGGTTCTAAGACATTTTAGCAATGTTCCTGTGTGTCCGTTGCAGCTTCTATAAACTTCATACCACAATTCTCCTTTTGTTTCATAATTGTGTTACATGTGTGTTTTAGCATCTCCCTGTGAGAGGCGACATCTCTTAACATCCAACAAAGCACTCTCCATACAGTAAATAGTCAACTATTGTCTTTTGTAAACAAAAAAAATGAGTGATTGAATAGACTTCTATTATTACCTGAAACTTTTTTCAAGTACTTTTCTCTGATGTCTTTTTCATCTCCTTAATGTTTTCAGTAAATTAAATTTTATCTGTAATTCAATTTATATTAAGCATTAAGATAGTCAAAATATTCTGCTTCTTTTTAAGATGTATTAAATACCAAGTTAACCTCATTTGACTCCAAAGAGAAGAATTAATTTTACTAAAGTTTTTATAAGGTCTATAAAATATCCACATGTTCATATTAGTATTTTGGGGGGACTGCATAAGCACAAGAGAAATTAATGCCAAAGTGATGGGAAGATACCACTTTAAAATTTGAAAAGAACAATTTGAAAAATGCTTAGAGTTTTTCCTCATTAATAGGTCAGTTTCCCTTTCATTGATAAAGGCAGTAATTATGATCAATAATTCCTAAAAATGTGAGAATTATTATTCAGGAAATAACATTCCAACATTCTTCTCAGCTGAATTCTAGTTCAGTTATTTTTTTCTATGTCTTTGTTTTATATATGCATATTATTTGTTTTTGGATCTTCTAGAAGTCATATAGGTAAACTACAAATGACTTAGATATATTTTAATTTTGAAAAACCAAGACACACACAATTATTTTCTGGTATTTGCAAGTGTTGATTTCCTTTTTTTTTCCCTTAATCTTTCTATATTTTTATTAAAATGTGGCAAAGTTGCTTTAAGAACTAAGAAATTTTTTAAATACTCCAGTAGACTTCTTACATAGATCTGTGCTTGTTGTTTGTAAACATTTATCTTAATATTTTCTTGTTTCTATCTGGGTCCTAAAAGTGCTATAAATTCAAAATGAACATAGAAAAGAAAAAAAGGAAAAATATGAGCTGATAATTTATATCAGCAAATATTGTGTGCACTGGGACAGTTTGAGATACAAAGTGGGAAATAAAAACTTAAATTGACTTATTGTAAGATAACCAAAAAAAGAAAGCATTGGGAGATAAAAATAAAAACACATTTGAAATACATCATTGAGGGACTTTAAGTGTGAGTGTCTGAGGGTTCTTATATCTTGTACATTTTAGTCATCTACTCATTGCTTTTTCTCAAAAAATTATCAATTTCATCTTTAAAAACATTATTTTTATATGTAAAGGGCAAGGTGATTCACTTTTCTGATTTCAAGGTTGTTATATATCTAGTATCTAATTTGAAGTTTTGATAATATGCAGAAGGCAACTTCAAAAACTTTGGAATTTGATTCTAAATCTAGAATTCTCTGAATTTCTAGAACCTTGTGGTGAATAAAATAATAGCCAATATCACAGATTTGCCAAAGTGCTATGGCTGGGGCACTGGTAGATTGGATTTGTGGGTACACAGAGATAGATGTGGGGTGTACATGTGCATGTGTGTGTTTGGGGGAGAAGAGATGGCTTGTGTGATATGCACCTCTAAGTCCATACACTGTCTTGCCGGAGACTCTCTCAAAATCTGTTTGCTTTTCCTTAAGGCTGTCTTAAATGCCAAGGTTATTGGGCCATTTCATAATGTGGTGTATTTGAAGAAAATGAAAGTTTTAAGGAAACACATTATTGAGTGTTGCAGTTTTAGGTAATACATCAATTACTTTGTTGTTTATCTGAGTTTAAGCTATACACAGAATACAAGAATATAAAAGTCAAAACATAACCACTATTTCTAGCGAAACTTGGAGAATGTGTGTTTAGGTGCTGCTAAGTCTAGAAATTAACCAATCTGTAGTGGATGGCTCTGCTGCGCAATTGCATTCCCCCTTCCTCTGAAACTTGCCGCCTGGAGGAGCTGGCACCAGGCCACAGGCCGCAATGACAGGATCACAGTGTGTAGACAGCAAATGACAAGGGAAAATTTGGATGGGCCGAGCCTATTTTAACTTCCCAAAGCACCGGTGGATAATTGGAGAGAGTGACTGCAGACACACTCCTATAGACTGTGCCACGTTGATTCAGAGCCCTCCCTCTGCATAAAAACCGGATGGGGGAAGAGGGTTCTTGTAATATTCAAACCACATGTGTCCAAGTTTATGGCTATAACTTAGTTGTTTTTTAATTACAGGGAGTACTTTAACATTTATTTCTTCATTTCAGAGCAGTCGGGTTATGACTTTCTCAACAGATGGACAGCAAACAAACTTGATGCTGTTGTTGTGGGAGTGGAGTAAGAGAATGATTTTCTTCGGCTACTATGACTTTTGTTTTTATGAAGAAGAGGTTTGATTATCACATCAAGTCAACTATGCCTAAGATATACCATTATAACATTAAGCAATCCTCAAAGGATCATCTCACCAACATTTAATATTAAGTGCAGATATTTACAAATTTTAACAATCTGAAGAACAAAAAGAAAAAGCTCTGAGAACAGGCTAATAGAGGTGTTCTCTTGCTTTTATTGGTCTACACAGATGAGGAAATATCTATTTGTATCTATTAAAAGAATTTTGTGACAGTGTGCATTCTAAATGTGTTAACCAGAAAATATCAAGATTTCTAGCATATTTAAATGATATTTTTATTTCATAGTTCTTATCTGGAATCAACTCCTGAGCATTATCCACAATGAGTTAAATGCATTACCAGTTTGTAGAGTTTTTATCTGTTGAATAACTGAACTTGAAAAAATAGGACACTTGCCTAGAATGTTTTCAGATCCTTTGCCTTTGAACATTGATAGCATTTTCCAGTAATTTTTTAAAGATATTATTTATTTATTTTTAAAGAGAGGGAAAGGGAAGGAGAAAAACATCAATGTGTGGTTGCTCCTCACGTGCCCCGTGCTGGGGACCTGGCCCACAACCCAGGCATGTGCCCTGACTGGGAATTGGACCTACGACCTTTTGGTTTGCAGGCAGACACTCAATCCACTGAGCCACACCAGCCAGGGCCCAATAATTTTTTTTTTAATGTTTGGCTCTCCAGTTACACTGAGAATACAATGTAAGCTATAGAGTGTCATTAATCCATAATGGGCTAAAAGTCATGGTTACAATATCAGGCATTTCATAACACTCTCCTTACTCCACACATGCAAGTGCCATCCATGTACCTGAGCTATGGATGTTGAAAACCTATATATAAGTTTTTATTTTTTTATTTAATAAAAATCTCGCGTTTGATTTTTGGAAAGTTGAACAGTAAAACCTGTTATTACGTTACATCTATTAGTACTTGAAAGCTACATAAACAGAACCATAATGCTACTTTTTTTAACTGTTTAAATTTTTCTATTTTAAAGCTATAGACTAGGTCCCCAACACCGCTTTCCGGCTCAGTTTGAAGATACCATCGCTGCAGTCAAGTTCTTTTTTCAGGATAAAATTCTTACAAAATACGGAGTGGATCCCACCCGAGTATGCATTTCAGGAGACAGCGCTGGCGGCATGCTAGCAACAGCGGTGACGCAACAGGTACATATTATTCTTTACGCTGGGAAATAGAGGTCAAAGATATGTAGTTCTTCCAGCATCATTTCTTCAAAAGACCATCCTTTCCCATTGGATTACAGTGATGCTTGAATCTGAAATCAATTAACCATAATAATATAACTATTTCTGAGTGCTCTCTTCTGTTCCAATGATTTATATGTCTATCCTTATGCCAATGCTATGCTGACTTGCTTTGTTCTTTTTTCTACATTGTTTCTAATACTCCATATCTTTTCCATCAAAATACTAGAATAACTTGTCAATTTCTTTAAAAAGAAAGATGGTAGGGGTTTGATTGGTAGCACATTGAATCTATAGAATTGGAGAGAGCTGACATTGTGATAATAGACTTCCAATTAATACACATGGTATATCATATTTTATTTAGGTTTCTTCAATTTCTTTAGCAATGTTTTCTTTTCAGTCTTGCAAATATTTTCTATTCATACCTGTGTTACTTTGTTTCTTGATAGTATATAGAAATGTATTTGATTTTTAAATTAACCTTTAAAATCATAGTCTAGTAAAATTGACAAATTCTAGTAGATGTTTCGATTTCCTATGATTTTCTATACAGTCATACTTCTGCAACCAGAGGTAGTTTTAATTCTTCCTTTCCAATTTTAATGTTTTTATTTTATTTTCTTAATAAGGACACTACTAGGGTTTCCAATAAAATATTATATATAACTGCCTTGCTCTGGATCTTAGGAAGAAATTGTTTAATATTTCACCAATAAATACCATGTTAACTGAAGGTTTTCTGTAGCTAGGTTTTGTCAGATTGAGGAATCCCTTCTATTTCTAGTATACTAATAGTTTTTGCATAAATAGTGAATTTACTAAATGTTTTTAATGCATCTATTCAGATGACCTTGTGATTTCTCACCTTGATCTTTTAATGTGGTAAATTATGTCAATTGACTTTCAGATATTAAATTACGTTTGCATTCCAGACATGAACCTCATGATGAATAAAAAATTTACATATTGCTTGTTTTCCTTTGCTAAAATTAAAGATGCAATATTTTTTGAGGGACTGATTTCTATTTTTTTAAAAATGCCTTCTTCAGATATTGATATAAGGGTTATTCTGGCTTCATTAAATCATTTTGAAAGCATTCTGATTCTTTTTTTTAATTTATTTTCTCTCAAATATGAAACTAAATTACTCATGCTTGGAAACTTAAAAAAAGATTATACATACACACAGAGACATATACATGCATATGTCTACTTTTATATATACTGTACACACGTGCATAAGTACTTATCCCTATATGTATATACTAATCTGTAAAACCACAAACACACACATACATAAAACCCTCCTGTGGAGCCAGCATGGCAGTGGCAGCAAAGCTTTACCTTTGGCTCTGCCCCCTGGGCCTCAGTGTAACTAACCCAAGACGCTCCACTGGAATGCTCTTCATGTTTAGAGTACTATATAAATGTTCTTAGGGGGGAAAAGAAAGTGTGTAAACCTTTAGACTTGTTGATTCCTCAGTTATCTTTCAACCTGAACTGATCTGCTGTGTATTTGAAATAATATGTCACCTATTTGAAGGATCTTGCTGGTATGGGGTAAGACATATGATGGGGAAAGAAAACTGGGGACTGTCCCCACTTTCAGGTTATTATACTAGTTGTTATGCCAAGTCATGTAACATTCTGATCTTGATTTTTATTGAAAGCTTTTGTGAATGTAGAGATTCTGAAAACTGTCCAACAATCACCCAGTAATAATAATAATTAAACAAAACCTTGCCACACCTACAGTTTTTACATATAAAATGTAATGTTCACTTGGCTTTGTAAGTGAAGAAGGCTTTTGAAATGATTAGAGGTATCCATAGAGATTTATGAAGATATAAAGGTCCACCTCATAGCTTTCCAGCAGGGTAATCTTAAATATTAACACAGCCACCAAAAATAAATGCAATTCTAAGTAAAATTTTTAGAACAGTACAAATTATTCTCTTGAAGTAAATTAAAATTTGACGTTAATTTATTCTTTGAATTAATTAAACCAGAACAGAGTATACAGTTACATTTCTGATCTATCTGTTCAAAAAGATTGTTACAGCTGACAATACTGCATTAAAAACTCAGTGCACTTTAATAACATAAAAAAATGATTTTCTTTACCCATTCTGATATTTTTTATTATCACACTTCAAGTTACTTGCCCTTCATGGTATGTTCAACTTTCTTCATCACTTATATTTTCATTAAAAAGTTTTATTTTCTGAACTAGGTTGACTTTGATATAGGTCAACAGAATCAACTTTTATTTTGTAATTATTATAAATTTTTTTTCTAACAGCTCATGAGCTTGTGGCTAATATTATGTTATGGAATTATAGATTGAAAATCTGTTTCGATACGAATGCACCACAAAGACATCATTATTGTTGTATACTTTGAAAAGACTATAACAAAATATGTTAGACTTATTTTTCTTATATGTATACAAAAGATAACTCAATATTTTATATAGAATTCACAATATAAAAAGATGTTCTTATGGATTAAGTAGTTTCTTCTGTAATATTCTTTTGTGGACTTAGTCTGTTTTCCAACTGTATTTCCATTATTGAAAAGGAATGAAATTTTTTCATTTATAATTCTGAAATTTTCTGACAATGTCACATTGTGTATCCTAAATCATTAATGTTTCTTTCCAATCACAAGGATCTGGATGTTCACCATAGTTAAGGAAACTTTTCTGGACATAATTCCTCCATCTTTAATTAAGAGGATTAGATTTTTAAATCTAATCACACCATTTAAATCCAATTTCATAACCATCTCACCCAATTTTATTTTAAAATAACCCATGCATTGCTTTTTATTATTCTAGGATTCTAAATATCTTTGTAGCTTTAGAAAATAATGTGAATTTATATCATGGGTCAGTTAGTTCTCTCTTTCTGTCTGCCTAGTAGATTACATGCCTCAGGAAAGCAACTTGTCTTGGGATATACAGCCTCATCTCAGGGAAAGAAATGTCTCAGTAAAATTGCTACATTAAAAAAAATTGGCTAACTTCCTCAGTCTATCAATGGTGCTAGTTAAGGCTGAAATAAATAGGGCTTTGAAATTCTTATCTTTTAACATTAGAAACTCTTTACCTGAAATGGAGGTCAATTAGGCAAGGGGGAAAAAAAAGTTGTTTTGCCCCAGCCTGACATCAGAAATTCAACCATCATAATTTTGTTTTTCTTTTCAAATTTGGGTTGTTTTCCTCCTTGTAAATGGGACAATAGTTCACAATTATGTAATTAATTTGCCACTAATTTACATGCTTACTTTTTGTCATGAACTCATAAAACATGAAAGAGCTATGTTTTAATGCTACAGAATTTTAGATTTCAGTTGTTTCATGATTATGTCGAAGATGCTTTCAATGAAGCATTGTTTTCCTTAAGTAGCCAGTTTACTTTACATTAAAGTTTAAGGGTAAGAGACATTTAGATTATCCTGATAAAGAAAAATTATGTAAAGAATTTCTCCCTATTTCTCTGCATCTGTCTCTCTTTCCCTGGTCTTCTCTCCTCCAACTTGAAAGTAGTTTGATTCACACATTTATTCGTGAGTCTATTGTCTATGTATTGAAATATACTTTGTTAACGAGATAACAAGCAAATGGCCTCTAGTTATACACTCCTCCATAATTAACAATAAAACAAAATTCCTCTGCATGTTTATTGTCTTCTCCTCCATTTCTTTTACCATCTAAAATTATCCTACCACTTCTGCTCCATTACTTGCTTCCCATCTCCCACCTCCCTAGGGACCTTTCTCTAAAATTATTTTCTTTTTTTGAGAATCTTCAAAATCTCTAACTCTATTTGTTCTTTCACTTCAACATATAATTATATCTAAGCTTTTTTATCTTAAAATCAAAACAAAAAAGATAAATAAGCTTTTTTTTAACCCCTCTAATCTTCTGTCTTTTCACTAATCTTTTTCTGTACCCAACTTCATTTGAAAACAATTTATACTCTCTTTTTCTACATACTTGTATTATCTACCCACCTCAGTAAATCATTTTGTGTTCTGCCCTACATATTCCATTTAACTTAATGTGACTAAGTACGCCAATCAATAATTTTTTCCCCTAAATCTACGGGAAATGGTTGTTGTTCTTTGTATATAACATCTTTTCATCATTTAAAACAGTTGACAACTTTTATTTGAGAAAACCTTTTCTTCCCATGAGGTTGATAATGGCACTCTCTTTGTTCTCCTACTTCTCTTCCATTCAGTTTTACATAAGACAAACTCCTTTTTATTCTCCCTGGTATTTCCAGGGCTCAGCCCTTTGATGGTTCTGTCTTTTATCCCACTCTCTCCACGGTCTTGTGGCTCAGCTCTGATTTATCTGCTGAAGGCTCTCAAATCTACGTCTTCCACTGCCGGTACTGGACTGAGCTCAAAACCCATATACCTGAACAGATTTCTCCACCTGGCTGTTCCATAAGTTCCAGAACTCCTCCAGGCAAACTTCTTCTATATACCTCTACATTACCTGCAGCAGTTCATACATAGCCACAGTATAAGAATATTCCCAGCTGAACTAAGTGTTTTGAAATCTAGGACGATATTTCTTAGTCTTTTTATTTCCAAACCCTGACCTCATACATACATACCTTTTCTCTTCTTTCTTCACGTTTCAAAACATCCCAGGGTTTGGCCTCCACCTCTCTTCAACCTGTTTTGCCTGATTAGCTACTTTCTTAATCTGTCCCATTTGCCACAGCATAACACCATTTCGCAACTTATCCTCCATAATTATTTGTGGGGGAAAAAAAAGTGTACAAATTAAATAAAGACACTAACCCTGCACACTGGAATGAGCAGCAACTGATTATTCATCTTTGAAATGGGGTTGGTTTCATTATTTGCCTGAGAAAAGTGTGGGGAGATTCATTTTGTCCCCTACCTGTTAATGTTGTCACTGTTTCTTTCTTTGGAACCTGGTAAAAAAATGAAACGGACCCATAGATGTTACATCAGAAGAAAGAAGGCAAGTCTGGCAAACAATGAATTGTGAAAGTTTGACAAGGACAAATCATTAAGAGGTCTTGCTATTGATTGATTGATTTTTTTTTTTTTTTTTTTTGGTTTCAATAGATAAGAAAAATTTTATTTATTTTTTAAATTTTATTTTAATTTATTTTTTCAAATACATTTGTCTCTGCCTACCCACCACCACTTTCCCTTGCCCCCTCCCTCCTTCCCTCCCTCAGCTCTTCCCCTTTGGTTTTGTCCATGAGTCCTTGCTGTATGTTCCTTGATTTTCCCCTTCCCTTCCTTTTCCCCATCCCCCCGCTTCCTTCCCTCTTGTCTCTGTTGATTTCTTTTTACTTCACATCAGGAACACTGCAAAGTCATTGAAAAGCTTTCACCATATTTGTATTTTTTAAAACTATTGTTGCAAAATGAAGAGTAGATTAGAAATTGGGAGAGAGTGGAAAAGAGAACATGAGGGTAGAATCACAGTACTTGAGCGAAGAAGAGAATGTTGTAGATTAGGATAACAGCTGTGGGGAAAAAAGTGGCTGAATTAGTGAAATAAAAAGAGGTAGGGTCAACAGGCCTATTTGATTTTGGGGATAATGAAGAAAAAAGAGTCAACTAGGGGTGACAAGAAGTGGGTATGAGTGTTTTGTAATATATGCAAGAAGATGTTCAGTATAATTCACTAGCCAGAGTGCCTCACTTGTAGCAACTGTTCACTGAATATTAGCAATTATGATTTCTCAAAAAGTATATGGATTCTGATACAAAGTGAACTTCTGGGAGCTAGGCTTGTGTTTGAAAGTAGAGGTGGGGCTGCTAAAAAAAAGGCTATTTAAGAGAAATAAAATAAATGAAAATAAGAGAGAATTAGGTAACAGATCAGATTAAACAAATGATAGAAATGGTAAGGAGAAACAGTGTATGACCATGCTCCTCTTTGTACAGTAAAATTTAAATAGAGTTGAGGGGGAAGGTGTGTTTTTTAGAAGACTCTACAGTGTGAGCCATGGTTTATGCAGGAGTTACCGAGATGTTTGATCGGTTCAGGCACCCACTCTGCATTTCAAACAAAAATGAGGTTGAGCCTGTATTCTCCATCATGTGCCTGCTAAAGATCAACACACATTTTTTGAAGCATTCTAAGGATAGGCTGTTGGGCTCCTTTTACAGTTTTCTAAACTATATTTAATTAATTTATTTTCCAATTACAGTTGACATATAATATTATATTTGTTCCAGGTGTACAACACAGTGATTAGACATTCATATACGAGTAATTTATGAAGCAATCAACCTGATAAGTCTAGTACTTAACTGACACCATGTGTAGATAATGCAATATTATCAAACCAACCTTGAACCTCATTTCTGGATCCAGTTTGCAAAATTGAATTGGCCTGTATTTAGGGGGGTACTCTTTTTGTCTGGTTTTGGTATCAGGGTAATGCTGGCCTCATAAAATGAGTTTTGGAGACTTCCCTCCTCTTCAATTTTTTGGGATAGTATGAGAAGGACAGACATCAATTCTTCCTTGAATGTTTGGTGAAATTCACCTGTGAAGCCATCAGGTCCAGGGCTTTTGCTTGTTTGCTGATTCTATTTTGTTACTAGTTATTGTAACATATTCTGTATATATATATATATAGTAACATATTCATATTGTAAGTATATATTGTAGGATGATCACCTAGAATGTCTAGTTAACTCCCATTGCCACACATCGTTACACTTTTTTTCACGTGATGAGAACTTTTAAGATTTACTCTCTCAGGAACTTCAAATATACAATACAGTATTATTAATTATCACTATCGTGCTGTACATTATACCCTCAGAATGTATGTATCTTATAACTGGGAGTATGTATCTCTTTCTCTTTCTCACACAAAGTTTTAAAAACTGCACCATTAAAATTAACTTGATATTTTTTCATGCCACTGAAAGACATTATAAATATTGTGAAAATAATTATAGCATAACATCAATTTATGACGATTTTTTTTATCTCAAAGTTGCTTAAACTAATAAAATTAAATTTCCTCTTCCTGGTGTTTTGAAAGTCTTTGCTTTATAAAATTTTATTGTGTGTTTTCCAGGTGCAGAATGGTCTTGAAATAAAACATAAAATCAAGGCACAAGCTCTATTTTACCCTTCCTTACAGATAATTGATTCTTATGTGCCATCTCTCAGAGAAAGTGAGAATGGTATAATTTTAACAAGGGAGGTAGCCATAAAACTCTTGAGTTTATACATCGCTGAGGATGAAACATTGCCCCAGGCAATGAGAAGAAACCAATATATGCCTCTGGAATCAAGGCATTTGTTCAAGTTTGTTAACTGGAGCATTCTCTTACCTGAGAAGTACAGAAAGGACCATGTTTATACTGAACCAAGTCTTGGAACAACTAATTTTTCATTGCCAATATTTATGGATGTCAGAGCATCACCCTTGCTGGCCAGTGATTCCCAGCTACGGAATTTGCCATTAACCTATATTATTACCTGTCAGTATGATATTTTGAGAGATGATGGACTTATGTATGTGTCAAGACTTCAGAATGTTGGAGTTCAAGTTGTTCATGAACATATTGAGGATGGATTCCATGGAGCTTTATCATATATGACATCACCCCTGTATTTACATTTAGGTCTCAGGATAAGAGATATGTATATTAGTTGGCTGGATAATAATTTATAAATATATATGATATATATATAAAAACATCATTTAATTGGTTGTAATTAGTGATATTTTATAGTTTTAGTACAAAGAATAATGTCATTTGTGTTGTCTAAATCTAGATTTGAATCAGTTATAATAATACTGCTCACTCTAGAACTAGTAAATATTTTGACTCAAAACCTGCATATGTCAAATGTTCATAATCCTGCCTATTTTCCCATTACTTAGTTATTATAATTATGTTGGTCCTAATAGAGACCAATGCTTATTAAAATTTAAACATAAGAATAATACTTGCAAGTTACAGACAACAATTTCTAAGCAAGCACAGAAATTGTAGTAATAAGTGGGAAAAAAATAAGGAAAAAAAATGCAAAGTAGTTGTATTAGTTTCCTGTGGCTGTTACTACAAACTTTGTGGCTTAAAACAACAGAAAAGTATTCTCTTAGGTTTACTGGGTCTGAAGTCCAATATTAGTATCACCGGGCCAAAATTAAGGTACCGGCAAGAGACGTGATCGCTCTGAAGGTTCTACATGGCTGAGCCCCTAGCACCTTTTAGCTGGTGACTGCCGGTATTCCTTGCTGTAGCTGGATCACCTTAAGTTCAAAGGCCAGTATCGTCAATTCTCTCTCTGTTCCATCTTCACACGGTCTTCTCCTCTGTCTCCTCTTGGAAAGATACATTTGTTTGCATCCAAGTTCTATCCAAGTAATCCAGAATAATCTCCCCGTCTTGAAATTCTTAATTTAATTACATCCACAAATACTCCCTTGTTCTCCCCATAGAAGGTATCATTTAAAGGGATTTATCAGGCTTTAGATATTTTGAGGAGAACTTTTTTCTACATTTGCAGTCAAATTTTATATTTTAACAAGCAACAGGTCAATGTTATAATTCAATCTTACCTAAATATGTATTTGACAATGTAGTATATAGTGAAAAAAAGTTTTCTGCAAACACCCTCAAATATATCGTCTCAAAATACCTAAATAGTAAATCACTTCTGCAAGCTTTTTGTTCACTGGAATTTTCACTAAAACTGAAAATTTATTGGTGTGGAAAAAGACATGTAGTACAGCAGTATGAACCTTGGGTATTAAGGATAATCAATTAAATCAAGTTAAGAAGTTAAAAATAAAAATGTGGAAAAAAGTGTGTGTGTGTGTGTGTGTGTATGGTGGGGCGGGGGGTAGATGCGGGGAGCTGGGGGAAGGGTGAAAATCTACAAGCCAGTTCACCTAAGAGCAACTGAGATATCTAACTTGTTCAGCTGAGACCAGACATATCATTACTACTTTTTACAAAAGGCAATAAAAAATGTTTATTTTAATAGACCATATATCACAAACTTTTCTAATGTAGAAAGAAATTAACTATGTGCAAAAAGCTGTTTTTCTTCAGCTGAATTTCAGCACCCAAATGACAGAAGAAACATCCATAATTGTAGCAAATAAAAACAAAATAAATGTCATTGGAATCAATTGTTCTTCACCATTGAGGGTTATACAGTCTATACAGAAATTAGATATTATAAGAAATAAAACTCATAGTTCTTATTTAATTTCTTCTAAACTCTTTAAAAATATTCTTTAATTATAAAAAATGTTTTTCATCATACTGAATCTGATTCCAATTCTCTTTCATCATTTAGTGTACTGGCTACCAGTTCTAATCAGGTACAAATAAAAACCTCTTGGAAATCTCTTCATTATGACAGCAGGTTCAGCAGAAATAACTGATGTGCAAGCAGCCCATGAAGGCGCAGCGCTCCCAAAAGCACATTTAGTTGATTGTCCTACTATCAATATTTTCCACAGTGATTCTTTTTTCTTTTTAATTTTTTTATTATATTTTAATTGTTGTTCAAGTACAGTTGTCTCCATTTTCCCACCACCACTTTCCCCTGCCCAAACCACCCCCGCCTCCCACCCTCAGTCCTTCCCCACTTTGGCTTTTTCCATGGGTCCTTTGTACATGTTCCTTGATGATCCTTCCCCTTCTATTCCCCGTTACTCCCCTCCCACCTCCCCTCTGGTTACCATCAGTTTGTTCTTTATTTCAAAGTCTCTGGTTCTATATTGCTTGTTTGTTTGGTTGATTAGGTTCCACGTATAGTGAGATCATATGGTATTTGTCTTTCAGTGCTTATTTCGCTTAGCATAATGCTCTCCAGTTCCATCCATGCTGTCAGAAAGTTAGTAGTTCTTTCTTTCTTTCTTTCTGCTGTGTAGCATTCCATTGTGTAAAAGTACCACAGTTTCTTGATCCACTCATTTACTGATGGGCACTGCGCTGCTATCAACATCAGGGTGCATAGGTTCTTTTGAATTGGTGTTTCAGGATTCTTAGGGTATAATCCCAATAGTGGAATTGCTGGGTCCAAAGGCAGTTCAGTTTTTAGTTAGTTAGGAAATACCAAATTGCTTTCCACAGTGGCTGCACCCGTCTGCATTCCCACCAACAGTGCACTAGGGTTCCCTTTTCTCCACAGCCTTGTCAGCGCTTGTTGTTTGCTGATTCCCTTATGATGTCTATTCTGATCAATGTGAAGCAGTATCTCATTGTGGTTTTGATTTGCATCTCCCTAATGTCTAGTTCACAGTGATTCTTGACCAAAGACTATGTCAATCTTGTGAGCATGAGTGCACAACCTCACTAGCATGTAGCTTTGCACCCTTGGCTAGGAAGGCTAGCTCACAGCTAGAGAAAAGCTCCAGGAGTTGAAGTCTTAATTCCTGAAAAATCTTACACCCTGCAGAGCAAGAAGACACTTTTCCTTTATGGGGGCATCTTAAAAATGTGTCAGAAATGTATGTTAAAGTAACCCACTTAATCCTCATTTATTTATTTTACAAATCTGGTCCCAAAATATTTCTGGAAGAGAGACATTTTAAAGGAGCCACTGCTGGACAGGCTTTCCTTGCAGCCCCTAACAGGAAGCAAGCGGCTGGCTATTCTGTTCCAATGACCTTATCCAGGCACTGGTTGCTGTGCACATGCTGTAGGGAGCATTTTATGGGGCTATACTCCAGAAGTTAGTTGTCTTTTATGTCTTGGATTTGAGCATTGTGATCAAGCCATTAAGTTTGGAAACATCCAAATAAAAGTCATCTTTTCTAATTTCTTTATTGTCAGTATATGGGAAGACCTGATTACATCCCATAACCACACAGCTCAAAGTTCCAAGCTTCTCATTCTCTTGTATGGTTACATCATTCAGACATTGATTTATTTCTACATTTTGTATCTCTCCCGAAGATAAATAGTGATGCAGAATTTGAGAATCAGGATAAATATTTTTAGGTAGCAAGAGAAATATTTGCATTGTAGTTTGGTTCTTAGACCATGTCTTGTTGATTTATTTCCATAATCTAGGCATAAAGTACCTAGGCATAAATGTGACAAAGGATGGAAGGGCCTATACCCTGAAACCCACATGACATTATTAAAAGTAACTGAAGAAGACACAAAGAAATGTATATATTCCATGTTCATGGATTGGTAAAAATCAACATAGTTACAATGGTCATATTACCAAAGCAATGTTCAGCTCTAATGCAATCTCCATCAAAGTCCCAATGGCATTATTTAAAGAAATAGAACAACAACAACAAAAGAAATGACTCAAATTTGTATGGAACAACAAAAGATCTCTAATCACCAAAGCAGTCCTAAGAAAAAAAGAAAAAAGCCAAAGGTATCACACTGCCTGACTTCAACTTATATATACTTCAAAGTGACAATAATTAAAAACAGCATAATATTGGCAGAAAAACAGATACAGTGGAAGAAAATTGAGAGTCCAGAAACAAACCCACATGTATATGGGCAAATAATATTCAACAAAGAGCCAAAGACATACAATGGAAAAAAGAAATCTTCTTCAATTGTTAATGCTGGAGAAATTAGAAAGCTACATCAACAGAATGAAACTATACTGCTATTTGTCACCACACACACAGAGTAACTCAAAACAGATCAAAGAATGTTGGGAACCTTCCCACCTGGTTTCAGGGACTGTAGTCTCACTGACAGGCGAGAGGACCCCAAGGCCGGAGCTGAGCAAGGAGGCCTTGGGAAAATAGGCCACTGAAGAGACAAAACCTGTTCCCCTGGTAGGTGCACATCCCCTGCCTCCCTCACATTCCCCTGCTTGGCTCTGGAGGATGGCTGGTTAGTCAATGACAGGTAAGACCCCTCGAAGGCAGGGGCTACCTAAGACAGTCACAGTCACATAGAGGCCATCAGGAAAGGACTTGGGGGACACAGAGAAGGAACAAAAGACCCTCACCCCTTAGCTTTGTCATGGCCAAAGTTCTCATTCTATCTGAAAGAAGTCTCCTTATCTGTCGGCTGCTCCGTTCCACCCATCTGACTGGGACAGTGAAACAATATTAAAAGCAGGTACAGCCCTAAACTGGATCAGGCAATTCAGGGAGCAATTTGGCCTGGGAAAGGAATGCATTAACTCCTATAAAACCTACTTTGCTAAGAATGCCCTCCAGTTAGTGAGTACTGATGTTTGAGGTCCAAGCATAAGATGAGATTAGTTTCCTACCTTTTAGGGCCAAATGGGTGCCACCCTCTCTACCAAACCTTGACCTGAGACAAATCTCTGTGTTCCTTCAGTTGTTACCTATGATCTCTATCTGTTTTCTGTAAACTTAGCCTGTAGGTATTGATTGATAAGCTTTGCATGCATGCTGTATACTCCTGTGCATATGGTTCTCAATAAAAATCACTTCCACAGAAGGGCTCGGGGCATTCTTCACTAGAGGGAATCACCACCCCCTTTTCCTGGCAGACCGAGAGTGTCTGGGGTGACTTATTTCCTCATCTCTGGCAGCTGGGGGGACTCTGCAGGATGGAGTACCCCCTCAAAAGACCTGAATATAATAGAAGAATATACATAGAAGAAAATAATAAAATACATAGAAGAAAATATAGGTGCTAAACTTCTAGTCCTTGGTCATAGATTTTATAAATTTGCCTTTAGGGAATTAAAAAGTAA